TGGGTAGAAAAAGAAAGAAAAGCAAGCTTATTAGAATCGGACAATTGCTATAAACCATACATGTGCGGTGCTCAACACATTTTTTTTTATGGGTCATTGTCCGATGAAGTGGAGCCACATCCCCCCCGTAGCCCCTATAATTGTTTCCCCGTACACCAAGCATAATTGATTACAATCATGTACTTCAATTTATTTTCTTTTCAATGTTGGATTCTTTCACCATTTTATTCTCTTGCTTACTTCGAACCAATGTAAACGAGAGAAGATTAATGAATTCTGTCTAAGTGAGAGTTTCATCTTTCTCAGTGTAGCATACAACTTTTTCTGTAATTTTCTGCATCACATAAGCTCCTATTTGACACCCATTTTAAAGAAAAAATAAATTCTGGAATAGTGATTGATTAAAAAATGTGTTGTTGAAAAGTAATGAGAATTTTTGGATTTATGTGTAGTATTATTTTATTGATAGAATGTGTAGTTGAAATGAAGAAAGAAAAAAATGAAAATGAGAATGAGAAAAAAATGGGTTTCAAACGAGGGCTCTAAATATAAAATATTACAGAAATTAAGCTATTTACAAAAATGAATTATGATCAATATTGTAAAAGGCCGCTTAAAGTATATTTAGCCCCTGTTTGGTGAAATGTAAAATTCAGATTTCAATCTAAATCAAAGTCAACAATTAGTTTTTACTATATATTTCATAAGATCCACAATTTGTTAATAACACATTTCATCAACTTTTATTAAAATTTACTAAAAAAATCTGACTTTAATTCTTACCAAACAGGGGCTTAATATATTGGATTATACTACTTGTATATAAAAATAACAAATAGTAGAGTATCGTGTGACATTATATAATCTCTTATATAAATTTTTACGTGCACGTAGCAAGATCCCATTATATTATATTAGAGAAATCAAACATGTGATAAAAGTTATCAATATTAGGTAGGGTCTAGTCACTTGATTCGCTTATCGCTCTGTCTTTATAGTTGTGTTGAATTATCGTGAGCACGCATTTGTGCACAAGGAACCCACTCAAGCTGAAAATTGAAAAATAAAGACAAAATTCGTACAATACACCAACTGGCTTTTGACGCCATCTCTATTTTTAGCCTAACAATTCCAATAGTACCATGGAATTGGAAAGATTATTCTCCTTACCAGGGCCCACGACTCCTTTACCAGGGACGCGTACGCCCTGATAATCTCCTACCGGGGCCAAAATTAGGTCTTTTCGTTTTCATGCACTAATCTTATAAAATATCATTAAGACGCTGTTTGGTTGTGATTTAATTTCAACTACATATTTTATATGATCCATAACTTTTCAACCACATATTCTATCAATTTTTATCAAAATTTACTAAAAATATGATTTTAATCTCCACCAAATAGGAGCTGAATATCATTCGATAACCCATGATTACAAGAGCGGACACGGACATTTTGAGATAGGAGACACAATTAAACATGTTCTTGATTTTTGAATAATTCATACTTGACTTGAGATAATACTGATTTACATTAAAAAATATTTCTTCATCAATGTTTTGCTAATCATTTTTTTTCCATTTGATTTTGAAGAATCATTTTATTAATATTTTGTTCATCACAACAAAATACATATTTACGTTTAAAAATCTTGAAGGCATATGAATTGTGTCCTGAATCTAGAGGGGTTTAGACTTGTTGGTCCATTATTCGAGCATTTTATGAAGAGATTGATTGGGTTTAAACATTTCACCTGTTTTAACTTTAATATAATAATAAAATTTTTATTTTCTAATTGCGTAACAAGCCACGATCAAGATTTCGATTAAGAGTTTTCCAAAAAAAAAGAAAAAGATATGGGAAGATTTTGTTATATATTTATACAATAAATATAATATGTGAAATAAATAATTAATTAAGATAAAGTGCCCAACTGGTGAAAAGTGTGGAATTTGGGTAGGAGGTTAGGTGTTTGAGTCACGCCTCACGCACTATATTAAAAAGTCTTTGATTGGGTCTTCGGGCCTTGGACTTTATTGATTCTAATAAAATAATTATTATTTTTTTAATTATTTTCGAAATTATTTATTGGGTCAATTAGCCAGTAGAATATGACAGTTTTAACTGCCCAATATTAATACCCATTATCATTGACCATTACATCTGCAACTTAATACTAGATCATGGTGGAAGAGGTTACATCTCTTTCTGCCTATATAAACACACTTTTGGGTATTAGAAAACAACAAGAAAAACGAGANATTTCTGGAGTACACTTGAGAGTTCTGAAAACCTTTTGTGATTGCTGCACAATTGGTTTTTTTGATCGTTGTATCCTGGAGGTGATTGTCCACAGAGGTCGCAGCAGTTATCGACGGGCAATTTGGCTTTAGGACATCGTGCTGTCACGAGACTCGATCTATTGATAAGTTTTTCTGCACTTTACTGTTGTTTTATCCAACAAATTTTGATCGAGAAAACGAAAACTTGTACATTGATTCTAATTTCTAACTCGAACAATGTGCTTTATGGGGTGGTGCCTCTAGTATGTACCAGTCAACACGAGGTACCAAAAACTATTGGCGATTTTGAAAAAATAAAAAAATGGCCCCACTCAGTTTACTTTTCACAACTCAACGAGTCAAGTGTTCCAATTTTCTCAAGTCACCTACACATTTAAAGTGTAAACAAAAAAATACAGTCGATATTTTTATTTGCCTTTCTTCTTTGACCACATCCACTCTTGCTTTAGTTTGCAATACCAAATGTGCCCGTAGTCGCATTTGCCATTACCATTGTTCCCCTTTTGACTATGTATACCATTTTACGTCCAAAAATTAAATGAATCAAGACATTTTTAAGTTATCGACAACCGATCAAACATCTTTTAATCTTTGAAAAGAGGAAAATTGTAGCAACAATACCAAACATTTCAGTTAGTAGTAGATTCAACCAAAACCTCTCATTTGTGTCACTCATGGTATCAAACATTTCAAAAATTCTCACTTGAAGTCCAAATAGATGATTTCCGTTAATTTGACTGTTAGTAGACCAAAAGTCCATAATCTAACCAAATCCACAAAACCAGGGGTTAGAGAATCCAGGAAGGCTTTGATATTACAGTCAAGGAGTCGGTGCTGGAGCGCGCAATCCAGAAGAGCTGTTAGATTGCAGTCAAGAGTTGGTGTAAGGGCCCCCAATCTAGGAGGGCTGTCGAATCTCAGCCAGGAGTTGTTGCGAGACACACAATCTAGAAGGATTGTATTAACTTCAGTCAGGAGGTCAGAAATCTTGTGTCGTCGTCTTGTTTGGTGGACTGTAAGTTCAATCGTTTATAATGGATTTTGACTGGTCGCCTGGAGGTTTTACCTAGTTAGAGTTTCTCCGTGAACACTCCGCGTGTTTTTTTACTACTTTCTTAGCTGTTTTCATATTTTGCGGTATTCAAACATATGGTAATTGCATTGTATGCTTAACCAGTTAGAGATAATTAATTAGTGATTTGTTGTTGGTTAATTACAATTTTTAATTTCGCATTTACACCTATTCACCTCCCTCTAGGTGTGTGTAAATTTCAATTAGGGAACCTTATTTTCATTTTCTTTCTATAATTTGCTTAGCTATTTTTCAATTTTAACTTGTAATTTTGCATTTCAGATCTGATATTTGAAATGAATTTTGAAATTATATTTGTTTTTGAGATTTTGCCATTGTTGTGGTGTAAGTGGTAGTGCTATTGAATGAAGGTGTTGATGGTGAGGAAAGGCGATGGTGGAGGTGACGTTAGATAGTGGTGGTGGCTTGAAGGTCCGATTGGGATTATAATCAACCTTAATGTTTGACACAGAGGGCTCAGAGGTGAGTACTGTTGCATGTTCCTCTATGTGATAAACGTTTGGAAGTTGAGATGGTGGGAGGTCGAGAGGTGGCGGATGATAGTGGTGATGTTGCTTGAGGAAGCTGCTAGTTTTGAGGTGACGTTGGGACTGAAGGTTGAGACGGCGGCAATCGACAGCTGAGTGAGGGGGTTGGGGAATAAGGAGATAAGGGTGGATGGATTTGGTTTTGTTTTGTTTTGTTTTGTTTTTTTTTCGTTTTTTAATTATTATTATAATTATGTTTTTTGTGAAAAATATAAATTTACAATGCTGCCTTTTTACAATTTGATTAAAATAAGTTAAATTTTATTATTTTGGTCATCTAACAGTCAAACTAACGAAAACCATCACTTGGACTCCATGTGAGAATTTTTGATAAATTTGGTACCGTGGATGCATAAATGAAAGGTTTGGGTCAAATCTACTACTAAATGAAAGATTTGATACTGGTGTTGCAATTTTCTCTTTAAAAAATTACAATAAATACTTCAAAATCCAAAAGTCTAAATTGTATTAGTGCAATGATACCTGCCTATAAGGTTGGCTCAATACAGCACCATCCTTGGCCCCTACACAATTCACTGAGACTTATCCAAATCACGTACTATTTTTCGTTTTAACTGCTTATTTTGAAAATACTATAACGATTCTCTCTAGATCATTTTCTAAATTCTCAAATCACGACCGGCCTTTGAGACAGCTTGTCACATATAGACCGGATTACTTGAGCACCAGACCACAAGCCTACATGTTAACAGGGGTACGACTGATATTTTTTAAAGTTATGGGACTAAATCTTCAATTTTAATTTTTAACAAAAAAATCATTCAAAAGGGCATAATGGTCATCATACAAATCAACAATTATTCATTATCGTCGAACTATATATTAATTGATAAATGATTAGTTAATCCTTCCTCCAAATTCATTCCCCAAGTTTTACCAAAACCTGCAAATCCATATCCAGAGAGAGAATGTAAGAAGGGCATCGACACGTACGAACACAGCTACCATCTATATATTACAGCTGTACTATTTATTTGTTCTCTCTCTGCATCTTCATCTCTCTATATCTATCACTACCAAGAAATCAAACCCATCTTGTTTTTCTTTTAATTTCAAATGGGCTCATCGTTTTCGTTCTTGATTTCGAACGAAAATTATACGGCAGCCCCTTCAGCGGAGACAGGCCTCGGGGACTTACCGGAAAGCTGTGCGGCGTCGGTTCTTGTGTACTTAGACCCACCGGAGATATGTAAACTTGCAATTTTGAATAGGGCTTTTAATGGGGCTTCCTCTGCTGATTTTGTGTGGGAGTCTAAATTGCCTAAGAATTATGGTTCTGTTATTCGAAGGGTTTCTGGAGAGAGTGAGAATTTTTGTAAGGATTTGTGTAAAAGAGATATTTATTCCAGGCTTTGTCGACCTAATTCTTTTGATGGTGGCACAAAGGTCTTATCTCATCTTTTTTTCCCTCTTTATTTCTTTTTTCTTTTTTAGATTTATATTCATAATATTGCATATATTGTATTTGCTGCTTGTGTTCTGGTGTATAATTGGTTTTGATTTTTGATTTTTTGCAAAAAGAAAACAGTAAATTAAAAAATGGGAAAATCCATTTAAAAATTACCTTGCAGGAAGTTTCTTGTGGATTTTTTTACTTTATTTTTTAATATTTACGATCAAAGTTATAGAGGATATTGGGTAGAGAAGATTTTTTCTTTCAAGCGTTTCACATGAAGATTAAGTTAGAAAATGACGTTTAAGGAATTGTAGAATGGGTTTTAAATCCTTGATGAAAGTTTTGGGAAAGTTTGTACTTTTATTTTCAATGATGGTTTTTATGTTTTTTGTTTTTAATGAAACTAAGAGAAAATTGATACAAATATTGATTGAATGCGTGTTGATGGGGATTGTTGAATTTGATTTCGTGCAGAAAGTCTGGTTGGATAAGAGAAGTGGAAAGATTTGTATGTCAATATCTTGGAATGGGTTGGCAATTACGGGGATTGATGATAGGAGATACTGGAGTAGGATCCCGACCGAGGAATCGAGGTGAGGTTCAACACTGCGTATACTTCTGTAAATTTAGTTGGAACTGGAATTGGTTATTTCTTGATATGGTTTTAGATTGGCTGATCAAACCCAACTGTTTCTGGGCATTTCTCAATGAAATCTTCCAAAGAAAAGGTTGTTTGCTGTTCACTTTCTTTCTACAGTTTTGTGATGCCTTGTTTCTGATGTTTTCTTTTATCAACGTGTTGATCTAAACATTTGGTCATAGACATAATTATAGCAGTATCGTTGTGTGTATGTTTTTTTGGGATCTTGATCATAAGAAAACCTTCATTTAGTTTTAGAATCTATAATTGGGGTTGAGATGTTGACACATCATATAAATGGACAGACTTCTCTATTCTTCTTGATCTTGAGTTTTTGTCATGGGAACTAATCTTCTTGTAGCATAGCTCTCTTGCATCATGAGATTATTTTGATCCTCCTTTTTGAGATCTGGCATCTCTCTTTCAAGAAGTGAGAATGTACACCAACAGGTGGAGTTGGCATTGATTGAGAAGTTAAGAGAGGAGACTTAGGTGGTTGGGACACATTTGCATAGTTGGAAATAGGATCCCGTTTATAAGAGTGATTGCGATTTCGGCTGAAGATGTCAGAAGAGGGGTAATAGACCCAAACTAATATGGTTGGGGTGGAGTACATCTAAATATTTATGCATTGTTCTTCAGCGCTTATTCTCAAAATTTTGCAGCAATGCATATGATTGTACTCAACGGTGGACCCATCACCCGGCGAGAGGGTGTGGCCACACGTGCTGGGTCCGCCGAAACAGTGCACCGCATGAGGAAGAAGGAGACCGGCGCGACTCAGGCGAGGGTTTGGCTTCTCCTTTCTGCTTTTTTTTTAAATTGGGCCTTCCCCATTTGGTTGGGTTGAAGCCTCTGCTTTTCAATTAACTAAGCTCAAATCAATTTATATATAGTCCAGCCGTCCAGTTAATTTCACTCAATTTCCATTTTACAATTTACACGGTTCCACACTTCCATTTCCAAATTTCCCCCGACACCCGCCTGAGCCGCCTCCTGGTGACGCCTCCACTAGTGGGCAGTGACCAGTCTAGCCGTGCCGGTGTCGGACGATTTGATCGTCGGAAGCCCAAAGGTTGGAACTGCCGGCTGCCGTCGTGACCGTGAGGGAGCCCGTGAGTTTTCTCAGTTTTTTTCTCTCTCTCTCTCTTTTATTTTTTTTTGGTGTTAGTGTTATTTTTTATATGAGATATGGTTATCCTTACTTAAGAATCATGATTTATGTTCTATGAGTTAATTGGCAATTTGGCATTGAAATGAGAATTGTGATTTGTGAAATTGCGAATTTGTAATTTGTGATAAATAATTTATGTTGCACTATCATTGAATTATGAATTTTAATTTATCATCTATGAGTTTTGATTTGTGATTTGGGAATTAGGATACGAGGTCCCGTAGAATGCAGTTGTCTAAGTTTACATTTACCGAGTAAGATTGTATCGCATTGGTGATTTGTGATTTATATATATTGATGGGTGATTTATAGATTTAATATGATAATTTGTTATATTATTCTTCTTGTAGTCATCTATTTCTCCCTCTATCTCGTATTTCGTAAACGATCTCGTTATTGTGGCCGTTGACGATTGTCGACCGCCCTAGCTGAGTTCATTTTCTGGATCTGCCACTGATTGTACTGAAGTAGTAATACATTATATGTGGAAAAGAATCTAATTGTCTATTCCGTACAGGTTCCGTTCAGTTGCGTATCTCCAGCAAATCTGGTGGCTTGAAGTGGATGGCGAGGTTGAGTTTCCATTCCCAGCAGGGTCCTATAGCCTGTTTTTCCGACTGCAGCTGGGACGTGCATATAAGAGGTTTGGAAGAAGACTTTGCAACTCCGAACATGTTCATGGTTGGGATAAAAAGCCAGTGCAATTCAAGCTCTCAACTTCAGATGGACAGCAAGCTACATCCCAGGTTCACTTGAAAGAACTTGGAAAATGGATTTACTGTCATGCTGGGGATTTTGTTGTTGCGGACTCTACCAAATTGACTAAAGTCAAATTTTCAATGACACAAATCGATTGCACACACACTAAAGGTGGTCTTTGTGTAGATTCTGTACTAGTGTATCCTAGTGAGTTTAGAAAGAGGTTGCAGCCTTTTTAATTGCAGTAAACCTTTTTGGTCAGATGTAGTATGCCATGAATATAAGGGGTTATATACTAGTTAGAGACTCGAGTTGTTTATGCTAAAATATGTAATGTAAATACATTGGGTTATCGAGTTGTCAACCTTAGTGAAATCTCTGCTCGCACTTTTATGTTTGTCTGAAATTGTTTCTGGTACCGTTTAACTAAACGAAGTTTAAGATTAGACGTGATCGAGGAAAAGTTAGCCCATGTTTGGCCCCAATTTTTTGGGGTTGAAAATTTGTAGTCATTTAATTAGCGAATATTTCCTTTTGTGTATTGCAAAATGTCATTTTTGTTGAAGTGTCCCAAGATAGGACTATCTTAGCCCCTGTTTGGCCCCCATTTTTTGGGGTTGAAAATTTGTAGAATAGTAATTGATGGGAAAATATGTGGTGGAAAAGTTTTTAGATTTGTGTGTAATATTATTTTATTTGAGAATGTGTGGTTGAGATGAAGAGAAAGAAAAAATTAATGTAATGGAATGAGAAAAAATGGGATTCAAACGGGGGCTTAATTTGTTGTTCTGTGATCAAGTATCTTTTCTGGAAGAGAATTTTGAAAGATATTTAATAATAACGGTAGATTTTTTGTACAAGTCTCATTATACGATGTATATTTTCATCTTTATATGGGTTAGTCACCGTCCAGCAGGAGCACGGGCTAGGGGTGTCGAAGGAGCTACCCATTGAAGGCCATCTCGCCATAGTAAGAAAATATGACTTTGGCATATTTAGGATGGCAAAGGAACAAGTGGCCATCTGCGTCCCTATCCCATTGGAGTTAGAAGGGGGTGGGACGGGAGCACGGTGCACTGCCCGTCCACGGAGTTTTTGTACAGATGACCCCGGCTGTTGACAGTCCGGTCCTATTAGACACCCTTGGCTGGGGCTAAGGAATTTCTCTAAATTAGGAACAATTTTTTTTTGAAAGTGCTTGGAAATACAGATGTGCTGCATTACAACCTGAGTTGTATATTAAAATCAAAACTAAACCCTTTTAATTGAGATGTTTTTCTTAGGGCTTGCTTGGGAGTTTTATTTTCGCTGACACCGTTTATGACGGGTTGTAATAATTGGTGTTTGCTAGATTTTGATCGGTTCTCTCAACCCGTCAAATCGATAATTTTTTGTCGTTTCTCAAATTCTCTTCTAATATTACCCTTTATAAAATAATTATTTCCAACAAACATATTTTGTTTAATACTAACTTAAAAATAAAAAAATACTAACTGAAAAATTATGTATAAGCAAAAAATTTTATTATAATTAAAAAATTACTTATAAGTAAAGATAAATAATTTTTTTGTGTAAAATCTTACTAATATTCAAAAAATCACTTATAAAATATAAAAATTACTTATAAGTAAAACATTCGCTTATGTGTAAAAAAATTTAGAAGTGCAAAATTAACTTATAATTATAAAATTTATATATAACTAAGAAATACTAATATAACATTATAAGTAAATATTTAACTTTTGAAATTAAATATTAACTTATATGTAAAAAAAAAATTATATATAAGTAAAATATCATTTATAAGTAAAAGATTTCGTACAAAACATCATAAACTCAAAATTTCACTAAGGGACATATTTGTAATTTTACTTTTCTAAAAAACTTTCGGAATCGATAGATAATAAACTCTTAAACATGGGGTTGGACTATTTTAAAAATCGCTCATAATCTGTTCGCTCATAAATGCTGAAAACTGTTACTCTAAAAAATGTCGATAACCGACATGCCTGAACTCCTAAGCAAGTCCTTACGAATATCTTTGACATAACATAATACCACACTCTATGATCTAAACCTTGAACTAGATGCTTCATGTTTGATATTTTGCTTCTAAATGTCATTTTAGTTATTTAACTTGTCATGTGGTCTATAAACTTGAAAAAAATTTAATGAAGAATTATTCACATCTCTCTTAGTAAAAACAATTAAGTGTAAATTACTCAAAAACGTTCCCAGGCTTTAGGATCCTTTGCACTTTCATCCCCATTAACTTTTTTTCTGGAAAAGGGTGCCTCCAACCTTTTTGAAAATCGGCATCACTCATCCAAATAGGTGATTCCACCTAATTCACCATTAGTGAGCATTGGTCAGCGCATGAAGCCGCTCTATTTTGTGTAAAAGTTTTATATTTTTCCATTATTCATTGAAAAAAAGCCAATAAATAAATAAATATTCGATAAATTAATAACGATAATAATTTTTTTTTGATCAGGTCAGTGTTCTAAATTAATAATCTTTTTAAATGCATAAGATAATATTTTTTATTTAATGGCCCAACAAAAATATAAATAATAATTGGATAAATGCGTAAAGTTTTGTAATACATGTTAATGAACTTCTTACTTATATATAATTTCTACCTTTTCTATTCAAGTTTTCTATAACCTCTAATTATTATATCACAAGGGGCTTGAGAAAATCATGTAAAGAACAAGTTGTTAAACAGTGGTAGGATATTCTGGGAACTAATTTAGGTAGTTTTTTTGAGGATACGTTTTTTGAGATTGCTGTCTATAATTCAAACCAATGGGGCTAGGATGGTGTACAAGGTAATGTTGAAAAGGAAGATTCATTGCGGAAGCAGAGGTGGAGATGAAGCAGGTCTGTTCGTGTGTTTCGCGGGGCTTGAGGCGAATTTCAGAATTAGGGCTTCTAAATCGTAGCAAGTAATCAAATTTTTTTTTTTCATTTATAAAAGTTTTATGAAAATAAATTTGTTAACTTAAAATCAACAATAAAATAATAAAATGAAATATTCAAAAAATATATATTACAATCAAATAACAGTGTATTTTAAACGATCACTTAAATACAACTCGTCCTGCGGTTTTAAAGACAAAAATATTAATCAATTTTGAATAGTCGAGTTATTCAACCATTTCTTTTTCAATAGATAACATGGTTAATCCATTCAATCTTTGCCGTGACAAAGTTGATCGGAGATAAATCTTGATTAATTTCATGTTGGAGAAAATTCATTCTGGTGATGCAACTGTAATCGGTATGGTATTTGACTTATTTGTTTGACTTTTAGCTGCTTTCTTAAATATTCCATTCCACAAGTACAAAATCAAACCAAGATTTTTGTTTCTATTCTACAATATGGTTATAAGATATTTATGAAACCAAATTTGTGGAAAAAAAGTGTCTAAACAATCTATTAACAGAAAAAGAAAAAAAAATCAATGATTATCGATGTTTCTAACTTAGGTATAGTGAGAGAAGATTTCATTCAATTACATACGTATGGTAAATACACTTCGTACTCATAATGAATTTAATTTCACATAAAATAGGAAATAAACTTTTTATCTACAAATCGATTAAATTTTATACAATTTTTTCACTTTGCACAAGGTTCACAGCCTTTAGAGAAAAAAAATTGTTATTGCAACAACAATAACGATATATTATCTATCATAAATATTTTCATAATGTAACGGCAAAATGGAAAAAAAATCACATCATATTTTACCATATATTGTACCAAATTACCCTAGAGAACACAAATTCACATCAATTACAATCCGTTTGGTGCATATTAAAATGAGAGTGCATTTTCTTGAAGTGATGTGATGGGGAATATGTTGTTGAAAAAGAAGGAAAAATTATTGATGTGATGGAAAATATTATTTTACTGAAAAATGTGTGGTTGAAAATAAGTAGCAAAATGAGAATGAAAATAATAATGTGATAGAGAATGCATTTTTTTGAAGTGATGTGATGTGAAATATGTGGATGAAAATGAAGGAAAAATTATTGATATGATGAAAAATATTATTTTATTGAAGAATGTGTGTTGAAAATGAGTAGAACAATGAGAATGAAAAATATAATGTGGCTCAAATAGGGGCTTAATAATAGATTATAGATCGAGAAAAGAAATTCAATCCCACACACAATTCAATGATCCGATCAACAAGTTATTGAAAAAATGTAATTGAATTTAGAGACAAAACTATACAGTAATCAATTAAATATATAAAATCTACGAGTCAATGCAATTAAAAAAGAATAAATCTATATGTACATTATTGTACACAATGAATTACAACGATGTGTGTAATGATACATAAATATATATCGAGGGGGTGTTACACAATAAAATGAGTATTCCTAATTCAGACATTAATTCAGTGATTTACAATATCATTGTTGAAGAAGCATTATTGTTTAGAGCAATCGAACAAGGGTTAACGAGTATAAAATACAATGAATTTTTCAAATAAAAAAGAAGCGAATTTGTTTTGGGCCCTCTAAAGAGTTGAGCCTGAGGCGACACCTCTTGGGCCTCTCCTCAGGTCCGGCTATGAGATGAAGGAGTCAATGAACACAGTACCGAATGAGGTGTCCAAGAATTAGATGATGAAGGAGATCATGAGGCTGAAGGTGAAGGTAAATATGGATGTATGCTAGGCTTAGTGGATTTAGATTACGAGAAAGAGGCCTTCCAATTAAGGATGATCAAAATTTTGAATGCTTCGAAATAATATTCAAATTTATCGATTACGAATTTTCAATAACGAGGCTCGGTTGGAAGATCTTCAAAGTATAAACAACAATGACTCTAATGACGATAGGCCAATTTTTATCCTTGTTCCAAGAGGCTACTTATATGACTGACCCAAATTTCAAACATGTCACCACAAGAGCTCAACTTTTTGTACCTTTTACATAGCAGGTCCCAAACTTTTGTTAATTATTGAACATTTGTCTTACTGTTCGTAATGCATGCGTACAAAAAGGTGCTGAAAGTTGTCATCACAGAGCATTTAGTGAAGAACATAAGGAGTTCACATTTTCTAAGAGATGACAAGATCTGCATCAGAGAAGCATGCCAAAAAGGGCATCCATGGGGTGTTGTATTCACGGCTCAGTGACGGACTCAGATTTTACGTTCAGATAGGGCAGACCTTTAGTGTTGACCATCAACAATCGACGATCGTATTAGCAAGATCGTTTATTAATATTTAATTAAATAATATTAAAAATTATTCAATATATATGTAAATGCACGAAACCCTCAACAGAGCATAGATGGTTGAATTGAGCCAAATATCTTCTCAATTGAATTTTTTTCAACCCTAAATTCCTAACCATAAATAATAAATTTCCAAATCACAAATCAAAACTCATAAATGATAAATTATAACTCATAACTCAATGGTTCATACAACATAAATTATTTATCCCAAATCACAGACTCACAATCACAAATCACATATTCATAACTGTAAAAAATAAGACCAATTCCATTTCCAAAGCCCAAAAAAAAAAAAAAAAANAAAAAAAAAAAAAAAAAAACTTTAAAACAGAAAAAAAATAAAAAATTAAGGAGAGTAGGAGACTCGTTGAAGAAAACTTTCCAGTGACTCCAGCCATCAGGAGGTGCCGAGGTGGACGGTGGTCCGGTGCCAATGCAGTGACGGATTCAGGCTTTCTGCTCATAGCCCACTGGAGGTGGACGGTGGTCCGGTGCCGAAGCAGCTGAGCTCACTGCGGTGCGGTGAGGTCCATCTGTCGTATTTGTGATTGCGTGCGTGCATGCAGTGCTTTCTGTTTCTTCTCCTCTCGTGGTCTTGCAAAATAGTGGACAACATTCAAATGGATTAAATTGGTAATCCATTCAATTTGGATTGGGCCTTGTTATTTTTAAAAAGGCCTACAGCTGGAAGCCTGGAATCAGCCCAAATAAAAAAAAAAAACAAGAAGAAGAAGAAAACAAAACAAAAACCAAATCAAGTCTTCTTCTTCAATTCTTCCATTCCTTCCGACTTTCACAGTTTATCCATTGTTCCGGTAGAGCCCAACACACGCGGCTGTGCCCCTTCGTTGGGT